GTCTCATTAAAACCAATACCGGCCCATACCATAGAACATGTTCGAACACATTTCTATCATCATACCTCTCTCCCCGCCTTCGCCATATCCTCACCCTGTCATCTGCTCTGGACACCGACATTCATCCGAGAATAATACTCTTTGCAATTGCCGTTGACGCCATTGGCGATATCTTGTAGCCCGTTGCAGGCGTCGTCGACAGTGTCTTATTGACAGCACTGGTCGCCGGCATCTGAGGTGTTCACTGCGTAGACGCCGTACTGTCGCATCACTTATCGGTCTCTGGTGGATGCCGATTGTCTGTCTGGGAGTTTCCGTTGCTTGTTGGAAGCGATTTTGTCTATGTTGTATGTAAATTAGGCGATCTTGTTTGTTGGTAGTTACCCCCGGCCTACCGCTTCGTCGCTTATTTTCAGCTGATTTCATCAGGTTGAATCGGTTCAGTAGACGTTAAAGTTTTCAGCAACCATTCGTGCGGTCTGTCTAGCCTGGATTCTGCCTGTAGCCTGTTCCCGCTGCTGACGTGGCAGTCTAGCCATGGAAAAGTCTGAATGCATATCTTCTAGACCAGTGGTTCTCAATTTTTTTTTTGGAAACGGCACACCCTGAAACACATGAAAAAATAGCGGCACACCTGGCTAAATATATATGAAACATATCTGAATTTTGCAAAATAAAAACATGTTAAGTCAGACGGCGTACAACCGTAGACAGAGACTAGTCATAGACACTTAGAATGGCTCAAACTAAATAAAGAAAAACACAGCCACGAACTTATCAGTGAATATTCAATTGGGATCACGTGTTTTTTCACATTTTCTTAGTGTGTCGTTCAAAATTTCGCGGCACACTTAGGAAGATCTAGCGGCACACTGGTTGAGAATCACTGTTCTAGACAATCATCAAGTTATTGTCAAGAGGACGTCTCTCTCTCTCTCACTACTCCTACGCCGATGACACCCAATTAATTAGTGACGCTTATCAAAATGAAATTAATAAGTCTCTTCATCAGGTAACACTCTGCTCTAGATCTGTAAAATCGTGGATCGACCGCTTATATAACCATTCAAGATTCATTGGAGACTGTGAGTTAATGCAGGTCAATGTGTTTGATCCCTTAACTCAGTTATCAATCAAACTCATGAATATTCACCAAAACCTGACAGAAAATATGAAATCAACCCATTTTCTTAATGGTATTTGTGGTCCGCATCCTACTGTTAGGTTACTTAAAATAGAGTTACCTCCCATGATGAAATAATTCTTCTGGAGTCTGAGTTGAACTCGGGTGTGTCTTTTTTTTTATAAGGGTAGGAAGGAACGTTTATTTATATAGTGATTTATTAGATGCAAATCACATTATTAATCTCTTGACATCGATGTTAGTGGATTCAAATCAAATCAGCCGCATGTTGATCACGACCTGAAATTCAGTAGAAAGTGTAATACTGTATTACATGTAAGGGCATACCAATAAGCTTTATGATATAACTTGTGGTGCAGTAGCCGGATTCATGGTATATTGCGGAATACCACAATCAAAACTACCCAGATATTTATACACCAATAACGCCGAAGAGCCAGAAGTGTCGAAAATAATTCAAACTGAAGACAAACAACTAAAATCTAACTTATTATGTAAACTTGGTTAACCAAAAACATAACTGCGAAGTAATCAGAAAAAAACACACGGTAGCTTAATTGTGTTCTAAAGACCTTACAATACAGAGATAGATCCAAACGATTATAGTCCGTGCATCCACTGCTATGATTATTACGTATGCAGAGTACTTTGGAAACACAACTGCTGCTTAAAACCATCAAAGAGAAAGGTGGATGACAACCATGAAGGTGGTGAAAACCCCGACAAAACAGCGAAAAGATTGCCGGAGTTTCGAACGCCTTGCTAGCTCCTATGAAATCGGACGAGATTTCCCTCATTGTTAAAAGCGACCATCTTAATACTGAGCTGGCAAAAGGAGAATATCTAAATTCCGGACATGATATAGATCAGCATAACTACATTCGGACCAAATTACATAAGAATAAGGATTTCTGCATTAAGAGATGTTGCAGGGTTTAATTCAGATTCACATCCATTTGAAACACCATCACTTGCGCTTAAGATAGGACATATCATCACAAAGTGTGCCAGGATAGTCAAGGCAAACGCTCTAGAAGCTGGCGATATTGACAAATTGTCGACGGCAGAAAATTTTCATAAACTTTGCGAACTGAAATTGCTTCACATGCTTTACGGACTCTATATCAAGCGAAGCGAAACAAACCAGAAAAATTACCACAGCATGAAGACGTGTTTAGGATGTCAGAATACCTGAATAAAAATATCAGTGAACTTAAGGAAAATGTTTCTTATGAATCTGGAAATAAATTAAAAACGACTTGGAAACAATTAAACGAGATAATTTTTAATGATGATTTTTAACCGACGACGACAGGGAGAGGTTTCGAGACTGAAAGTTGAAGATTTTAAAAAGAAACATTTAACAACTTTTAATGATGATTTTTAACCGACGACGACAGGGAGAGGTTTCGAGAATGAAAGTTGAAGATTTTAAAAAGAAACATTTAACAACTGTGGATGATAATATGTGTAACTGCCTAACTGAAATAGAAAATAATTTATGTAAAATATTTGAAGTGGCAGAAATAGTTGAGAAAAGGAAGGTCTGTACCTATTCTGCTAACTAATCGAATGGTGGAAGCCCTGAATATTATAAAAGACGGGAGGATGGTGCCATGCCTTTTAATTACCTTTTTCTTTGTACCCACTACAGAAGTGTGGGTCGGATACGCGCTTCAGTCTCAATTAGAAATCATGCTAAGCTAGCAGAGCTGAAGGACCCATTGCAAATGAGCTCAGCCAAACTTAAGGAAACAAGTGGCCACATCTTCAAAACTATTAGCACTGAAAGAAAGCGAAATCGAACTTTTGGCGACGTTTATGGGCCACGATGTTCGAGTAAACAAAGAATATTACCAACTCCCAGATGATGTGCTTGGCGCGACTTTTTACAGCAATGGAAAATGGAACCATACATAAATATAAGGGCAAGTCGCTTGACGAAATTAGTTTTGACAACCACGAAGATGTAGATATGACAGGAGATGAACAATTTAATGTCTTTGAACAAGTCGAACAAGGAAAATGGACAGACGATGCAATAATGGCAGTGTCGTCATTAAAAGGAATACAACATTTGCGATTGCCAGGGAAAAAAGAAATCATGGAAGTAAAACAAAGATTTCCATGTTTAAAAAAATTGCACCTGGAAAAATATTAAAGACTATTTAAGAAATAATAGGGCAAAAGTCTTAGGTAATTCTCAAGAAATAATAATAACATACTTGTAGTAACATAGCTTACCCATGGGTAGCCCCCCCACCCCCTCACCTTTGGTGTCTGAAGTATTTATGACTTACCTCGAACAAAAATCGTTAAAGACATCAGTCGTCAAACCTATCGTCTGGCATCGCAAGGTGGACGACACGTTTTTCGTGCTCAACAAAGATGAGGACCCCAACAGCCTCTTCCAACATCTCAATAGCCAGACACACAGAATTAACTTCAACATGGAAGCTAAAGAAGAATTCACAATTCAATTTTTTGACGTATTAGTCACTAAAGATGGAGACAACCTGAAAACATCAGTACATCGCAAACCTATTCATACAGACCAATATATTCATTTCAACTCAAAGCACCCATTAAATATTAAGAAGTCTATTGTTTCAACCCTTACTAAGCGCGTCACCACTATTTGTCAAGCAGATTCATTAACTACAGAATTAACTTACTTAAGGAAAGTCTTTACCGAATTTAATAGTTACCCTACACATTTTGTTGACCAAGCCATCAGAGAAGTGATCAACAACAAAGCTAAAAATCACAAACCTGCCAAACCGGCTACGAGTGGGATAAGGGTATCCATCTAAAACATCCTGGCAGCAAAAAGAACAGACGAACCTACCACCACCTAAGGGTTGCATTTACGAAATAACCTGTTCCTGCAACAAAAAGTATATAGGGTAAAGTATATTGGATAAAAGAATCAAAGAACACCAATCCCAATCATTGACAGCATATAACCAATCATCAGTGGCTGAACATCCTAGTGACAACAGACGACATCGTTTAAATTGGGACTTGACACGGACGCTAGCCGTAAACCAACACCAGAAAAAACCCCAGAAAAATCTTTGAAGCTATTCACATCAGAAGAAACCAACCAGAACTCAACCTGGATACTGGAGTATACCTACCACACGCATATGACTCATTGATCTTAGGAATTTAACTAAATTCGTTCTCTGTGTAGATGGATGTTAGGGACTTACTGTGATTAATAAGCTTTTATCAGCGATAGGACATGCCTTTCATCATTCCATGTGAACAGAATAACTCCACGGTACGTCGCTTTAAATAATAATTGGGTTCTATAATATTGGTTGTGTTTATTGCGTGTTCAGCTGCCAAATGCCGCTTAGAAGCTGTCGTTCATTTGGAATATCTTTATCAGTACAGTTGTAGTTTGTGTCTTTTTCATTACTACTATGTGTGTTTTTTTTTTAAAGGAACAAACTCAATGTTGGTCAGATTCTCTCTCGACCAATCAGATTCCTTCCTGACGAAGTAGACTTTAATACGACCAATCACGATGCAGCACGCTTTGAGCAGATTTCAAGCTCAGAATACTATTTTTAATCCACATTGTTCTGTGGGATCTGTGTATATAGTACATATACTGATTGTTGGTGTACAAAGTGTATCTAATGTATATATATATATATATATATATATATATATATATATATATATATATATATATAAATATCTATTCTTTAAATATAACCGCCAATTATGACAAAGGGAAAAGGTACAAAAGGGACCAGGTTAAATGCAAGGAAAAGGCCAAGGTCAATTCAAAGGAGTCGTCTATTTCTTCGCCATCTACGCCACAAACTCCACCTACACCTACGTTACAACCTCTACCTCCATCTCCAACTACTTAAGAACCAGATGATGAATGTGCTGTCCATACACCGGAAAACTCTGAACATACTGACCAATCTGATCCCGAGCATAACAACCATAAGTATCTGCCAAGTCCTTCAACTAAAGTAAAGACACATGTCAGCTAATTTAACAACTGATAAGGAAGATGGTATGGCAGAGTGGTTCCAACAACATCCCTGTCTGTTTAAAAAGAAGTTACGTGATTTCAAAGGCACCAGGTTGAAGGAAGCTCTGACCTAGTTTATCACCATACACTTTACGGTAACATATTTAGAGCTCTGGTTAATCCTGGTTGTTGATCGGACTGTCATAATTTGGGACAGACTTTTGGGCTGAGTATGGCAGTGTTTGAGTGGGATCAGGTCTAATCAAACGAAACACTGCGACGAGTATGGGAGGCACCCTGAAGTTGTACGCCAAACTTTCCAATAATTGCTGGTGACTTTAGGTGAAATTCGGGCAACAAGCTCATCAAATAACTCCGGTATCAAGTAGTTGATAACTCAAATCTCCTATCCAGGTCCAAGCACCTGCGAACCCACCAGCATCTCGTTGCCTCCTCGACATTCGCAATCTGATGGCATTTAATGCTACCTTGTCAGTTAAACGGAGTTGTCGTGATTAGATCGAGTGGGTCTTATTAAGATCTTGTTGAATTTGGACTGGGACTGTGTGGTGTGGTGCATTCACTGACAAATTCCGCCCGGGATTCGTCTAAAAAAGCGAGTAAAACTAAAACTTCTAATAGACGATCATCTATTAAAATGTTTCCGCCATTCAGTCGTTCCGAATGGAAATTCCGTCAGTGAATTTATTCTTGCTTGAACAAAACAAACACAAATCCAAAAGGAATAAATAATTGTTAACACCCCCCCCCCCAAAAAAAAAAACAAACCCCAAACTTACACGACGACTGGCTACGTCACTACTACAGATCGATTTGATTAACTCTGTAGTCGACTTTTATTCTGACATATTGTTCCTTTATTATATAACCGAAGTTTAATAAAAGTTGTCGCCCCTCTTTGCTATTGTAACAGGACGGGGTGTTTTCGATTTGCACTCGAGCGGTGGGAGTGACCGACTCTTATGCAAACCGGAAGTCCAGGTTCGTATACAGGATGTCAGGTTTCTCGCGTGAACCGAAGGAAAAGAGAACACATTTATAAAGTTTCAAAGCTTTTTTATTTCGGAAAATACAAAAAAATGAAAGACCGAAACGCGCGTTCGTAACTGTTGTTTTCTCCCCTCCAATGGTGAACCAGCTGAAATAAAAGAACTCTGCCAAGTTCATCAACTATGTCTCTTTACCAAACAAGAAACTGAACGTCCCGTCTACACAAAGTTATATATCTTCCGAATGAAAACGGCCGAATGAATGAAACTTAGGAAAGATATTGACAATGATTGACACCTGCCTCAGTCTGAACTAATAATGTTCATTCAGAGGGACGCCACAACTCTTACATCACCCAAATGGAAGCCTCAAATAATTAAACACTCGTAACTTTACAATAAATTATAAATATCATAACTTTTGCCTGCCTCAGCCTGAACTGATAATATTCGCACAGAAGAAGACAACGAATCTTACGTCACCCAAACGGAACCCGTGAAATAACTAGTAACTCATAATTCTACTACTAAATATATACATCACAACTTGATGCCTGCCTCAGCCCGATATTACAACATTCGCACAGAAGAAGACAACGAATCTTACGTCACCCAAACGGAACCCGTGAAATAACTAGTAACTCGAAATTCTACTAATAAACCAACAATTTCCCTATAGTTTGGAACGCCCGTCTTAGCAAAGGTAAAACTACCCCGGAGATCGAACCTGCCCCGAGCGGAATAATGGGTTATTCCGGTGGAACTTGCTGATCACCGGAGACAAAGTCTCCCCTTGAGATGCTTACCACAGTGTGAAATAAATAATATTCCAGCTGAGGTTCGCACCCCCCGACCGTTCGACTAAGACTGACTTTAAGTGGCCTTATACGCTCTGTACTATAGAATGCACGTGCATGAACCTTGACATGGATTTTAATCACAATTCAGAACCCGCTCTCCCATTGGCTGACTTGACCCACGCTATCCAATCAGAAGCTCCCAACTATCCATCTCCAGCCATTCAACAAAATGGCGGGTTTCACTAGAATGTTCACGTGGTACGAGCGTTAATTCAAGTTTAATGTAATTTAGAGCCGATAATATAAGCCATTTCTAGGGGATCACGTGGCTAAGTGGGTAAGACGCTAGCTCGCTAGCCTGGAGGTCGGGTGTTCGATCCCTGCTAGACCAGCCTATCATTTACACGACTGTCGCCTTGGAAACACGTACGGTACTTTTATGGAATAAAAAAATTACTATGTTTGTTTTCACTGCGATGTTTCAACAAGATTTCACAAGTCGTTATCAAGGATATACACAGATATATAAAATAAAATGATCGTTCGTTTCTGGGGTTTTACGTCCACTTCCACCATGGGTGATATCGTAGATAGCATTGAAAATGAGAAAAATATGAATATTTACAAACATCAGTGCGAACTATCCAATGGAATGCAAGGAAGGTGAACATGAGCGGCTATCACAAGCTATGGCTGAAACAAAGGTACATATAGGTGTATATACTAGGATTATACAATTAAGAAATCAAACAGAGGATTATTGAGATATATTGAAACTAAAAATATTATCCATATATTGAAATCAGTTATAGAAAAATAAGTCGTATATTCTATGATTGACTAAATATACATTCAAAAAGATCAGAGGATTTACAGAAATATATCAAACCCACACTCATTTACGCATTCAATGAGAACGGTTGAAGAAATATAAAATTTGAGGGTTATATACAAATATACAATAAAAACATTTGGCAAGTTTTTATACAATGTGTCTATTCAGAGTAACATACCAACCTGACGTTTCTTTTGCTGCTTAGTATATATTAAGATAAATAGTGCAGAATGCCCAGTGATGAAAACATTTTGAGAATTATAAATGTGAGGGGTCAGATATAGTAAATAGTAATTAAGTTGCATAGGCATATATATTATACTGTGATTAGCTAAGTGTATTTATAGAGAAAAATTAAAACATACAAATGTTTACATATTGAGAACAGAAAAGGATTATAAATACGAGGGTTGTGGTATAGAAGTTAAAAATTTAATGACATATGCAATTAATTCGGTATTGGATAATGCCAAAATATATATGGGTTGAGCATGGGGAATTATATTAAGGGAACTATCTTTACATTTTAATAATGCGGTCATATGCTCTGGGGATATAAACGCCACGGTCTCGATTCGGTTTGGGTCCTCTAATGTTGATCACCTTATGTATTCTGTGGTGGTTCACAGCTAGCGTATTTACTTTGGTCCAGTTGACTCGATGCCATGGGTTCTCATTCAAATGTTCCGATTGGTTGGTGGGTTTTTTTGACGTATGTTTCTTTCATTCGGAGATCTAGTGGTCTTTTGGATTCCCCAATGTAACTTTCTTCACAACTACAGTTGATTTGGTAGACGCAGCCTTTCGGTGAGATACGTTTAGTGGGGTTTAACTTACCATTGGCTATTACTTAGTCTTTGGTTTTTGCGCCTTTCAGGTAAAAGGTTTCTATATCTACTTCATTTTTCAATAAAGTTCTGATTTGGTGGGAGATATTGCTGTGGAATGGTATAAAGTTTCATGTTAGAGGTTTATCGTTTTTAGGTTTTATCAGGTTTTGGTAGGTCGGATAATGTGGCATTAATGAGAATGTTGACCATTTGTTCTGGGTATCATTTGTGTTGGGTAAAGATTTGTTTAAGTGTTCTATTTCCAGGGGAGCGGATTTAGAGTTATAACTATTTGTGGCTCTTTTTGTTAGGGTGGTGATAATGCCTGCTTTTATGCTGTTGGGGTGGTTAGATTTATAGTGGATATACTAGTCTGTGTGTGTTGGTTTTCGGTACACTGAGGTGGTGACATTGGCGTTCTCTCTTCTTACCAGTTCATCAAGAAATGGGGGGGGGGGGCTGCTGTTGGTTTCATTCATTGTGAAATTCATTCTTGGATGTTGGTAGTTGAGGTGATTCAGGAGGACGGCAGCATCTTCTTCTTTTAGCATGACGAAGATGTCATTAACCTTTACGAGGCAAACTAGGCGTTGAAAAGGGGTGGTTAGAAAGACTTCTTCTTCAGTGATGTCATGTAAATTTCAGAAATCAGGTTAATGGGCTTCCCATAGGTAATCCACGTATCTGTTCGTAATGGTTATCTCCCCACAGGATTTGTGAAGACGGGTTTCAAGAACTCTCATGCTTTGTTTCTTGGTAAATTGGTTCTATAGGTTGACTACGTCGTACGAAAGTATTTTCGCAGGAGCAGTGACATCTTTGACGCGAAGACCAAATTCGCGAGTTACTTAGATAAATACTTAGCCGTGTTGTAATAGACCGAGTCAATGGAACATATGAGAAGTTTTGCTTTAATTGGACTTTTTATGAATCTTAATGGTCGCTCTAGCATATAGTGGGTAGGTGTGATCTGGTTTAAACATGTTTGAGAAGCTGTTGGTGATCTTTTAGGATCTTTGATTCTTCAAAAAGTGATTTCAAAATGTTTTCATACTTTTTAACATGTGTATTGGTTGGATCTTTTCTGAGGCGTCGATAGGTTGAGTTATCTTTACGTAGGTCTTCAGCTATGGTGTAGTGTTCATCTATGTTAATTACTACAGTAGTATCCCCCTTATCAGCTGGCACGGTGTTTATCTTGGGATTATTACGTTATTCTTTTAGTGCCTTCTGCTTAAGGGTGGTTACTTGGTTGAGTTTTTGACTTTAAGAGGTAGGTCGGTTAAAGTTGATGTCGGAGGTATTTCACTTTCCCACCTGGTGCTATTTATCGTCCATTTTCAATATTTTCTATAACGGTATATATGTGAGGTATTTGGTTAGATGGTACAAAATTAAGTC